AGTAAAACTGAATCTCTGCCTTCAGCTGGTTCAATATTGCAGATCCCTCACAATAGGACAAGTCAGTCAAGTGACACACACACACAAGTCAAGTGACAGTGGTCGGAGATTGAGCCTGAATGTGATAACAACTGACAGTTTACTCAGCAATGACACTGGCGCAGCTCAATGACATGGCAATTAGGATGATGATGATTACGATGAATGAATTATGAACAAATGAACGCATGCCACATACATGAATGAATGAATAAAGGAATGATTGAAGAAAGAAGGAAGGAAGGACAAAGGAAGGAAGGAAGGAAGGAAGGAAGGAATGAAATAATGATTGAGTGAATGAATGCATGAATGAATTAATGAATGAATGAATGAATGATTGAATGGAATAAAGAACTGAAATGCACTGCAAAAGACTGAAATGAACTGAACTGAACTGAAAGGAAATGACATAAACAAATGAACTGAACTGAACTGAAATGAACTTAAATGCAAATGAAATGAAACTGAATGAATGAGTGAATGAATGAATGCATTAATGAATGAATGACTGAATGAACGAATGAATGAATGAATGAATGAGTGTATGATGAGTCCAACTCTGTAAACCCTGTGCACAGTGGCCCATGGACCTGCCATACAAGCAAATTTCAAGGATCTTTGGGTTCAGTTTGTTGGCTTCAGGACCCAGGAAGAAGTAGGGTTGCAAACTTAAGAGTGTTTAGAATAGAGTGTTTAAACAATTCTGGGATCTCTTAGCTGCTCAACCAAGCCTGATGGATGTCAAGGCCACTCACAAACGGTCCCTTATTTTACTATTCACGGCTGAGATCCTAGTGTGACACATCACACATTTAATTAGCCATGCCATCATGACAGGCAAACTCTAAAATTGTCACTTGACTCATGAATTTTGTATGGCTGTCTTGACATGTGAAGAACTCTTCTCACCACACCTTGGCTCTCGCACTCGAACCTTTTGCAAAATCTCACCACAGTCTTTGCATCGAATCTGTTTGACAAAGTGGTTGCTGCCTCTCTTGGTTGTTCTGCTATGCACACATTGACAACCCAGCTCTCTAGAAGACATACTGTGCTGGCAAGTTCTGTCCGCAATTGATGGTTCAGCTCCATTAATAAAATCCCATTCAGATTCAACAGAAGCAGATTCCTCCCCACCACCAGCCTCATCTTGAAGGTGAACAGCATTTGGCTTTTTCTCAACAACAATTGAGATAGAGACTCTGTCCTGCTCGCCAATGTTCATACTCTGAGTTTGGGCTGTCATAGTCGTGGCACTTCCAACCAGGAAAGAAGACTGAGCTTTGTGCACAAGGGTCAAAATGACATTGAAGACATCAATTGTCAAACGCAAAATGAAGTCAAGAAGTGTCAGCAACATGGCACAACTGACAACACTTGGAGGGACTGTTCAGCAGTGATGTCCCTGAGCCAAACACTTCGCGAGGCTGAGTTTCACATTTCACCTTCTCTTTATCCTAGTATCCCTTGAAGAGGTGACTGGCTTTGTAACTCATCTCCCAACACCAGGGTATGTCCCAAATGTCAAGTGACAAAAGGCAACTATCTAAATCTAGATAAGACGATGTCCAAGGGTCTCAACTCAAGAGGAGCCAATTGAACTCTTTTCTGAAGACGTTGAGTTGTACTGAGCAACCACACAGAGAACTGAGGGTACACCGCTCCATGTAGAACTCCTGGCCTGGCCACACAGAGGTCATTGGTGTACAGTATTGAATAATGACAACTGACCAAGAACATGTCATGTGACAGTTAAATTATGCTTCCAAGTCAGAATGGAACTAGCACTACCTCTCATCTACTACCTGTCACCTTTTCACCTTGAATACCTACCGCCAGTGTCCACTTGAATACCTACCTTGAATACCTACCTACCCAACTAACCTACCTACCTACCTACCTTGCATACCTTGACCTTGAGAGAATGAACAACGTGAACTACACTTCTATGCTCTGTACTCATCAGGGCCAGGCCAGTGAGAACAAAGCTTGCCTCCAATCAGCACCTGGCAATCAAATAGGTTGCGATGAAAGGTTGAGATACTTAGAACTAGTATTGGGTCGATGGCATGGCGTGCACTTGGAAGAACTCCGCTTTTTTTCACTTCACAGGCCAGAGTCAGGCCACATCTAAACACTCCCTGGCATGTTCATTCATGCCTATCTAAAAACTCATGTCTCCAAGTGACATGTCAAGTCAAATGTCAAATGACTCAGTCATCCGGCACTGGAATATCCGAGCTGCCGCTGGCTGCACTGGCCCTGGCTTGCAAGCCATGAACAAAGGCTTCCACCATATCCCCCTCACCAAACAGGGCGTTCTCCAGCACATCAACCATTGAATTCTCCATTTCCATCTCATAGTCAGTGTCAGGATTCCATGGATCTGACAGAACTCTTGTTTGCAACGAATGATGCACCAGCTCAACATTGAATTCATTTCACTTCAGATCTTTAAACTGACTACAACACCTATTTCATTGATTTACATTTTTGAACAACTGTCAAAACAGCAGCAGAGCCAACCTTGCCTATCACAAGATGAATGCCGGTGGCATTGAGCACATACTTCAGGACCACACGGCGACAAAAGAAGCCAGAGAAGCGATGAATGATCATTTCTTAGATAATATTTGAGCAGGTGAAGGGATTTCGGAACAGTGTCTGACGCATCTGATTTGCATTTACTGAGTCTGTCAGTTATGTCATTCCAAGCTACTGCTGCCCTCAGTGATGGTCCAGATGCCATCGCCCTCCATGTTTGATGGGACTGTGAACCAGATCGCATCATTCGCGAGGACAAGCGCTTTGAATGGCTGAGCGTCAGTGGCCTGCAGCAGTCCAATGCCTCTTGCACCAACTCATTAATATAGGATTTGATCAATAATTCACGAAGTTCCACATGACTGAATGACATAATGGTCAAAATGACAAGTTCTTAAGACACTCAACCAAAGGTTCCTGACTGACCCATGAAATAATTGTCCAAGACACCTGCTGCAACTGCTGGAGGAACTCCTCCTTTGTCTTCTTCTTCCCATCCAACAGCTCAAGGTTCATCTCATAATTGAAGATCTTCTTGAAGTGCTCCACCATGTGTTCCAAAGCTTTCCTAAGCGAATGATACGAATGTGAACTACAAAGCTCACACCTCAGTATGTATATATATTATATATTTATATGTAACATGTTCAACCAAGCCAATGTCATTTGTTACTATTCAGTTCAATTCAGAGATCAAGACACTAGTGACAATAGACAAGACACTTGAAGTTTGGATGGTCGTTGATCTCAGGAATGTAGATCTTCCTCCCACCATCCATCCTTAGGCATAGTAACTCATCTATCAAATCTACCTAGTCTGGCTGACCTCACCTGTGCTCTAATTCATTCCTTGTTACACATGGCAAGTGACAAGCAGAGACGCATAATTTATATCAAGGTGCTCAGTGAAATGTGGAAATGTGATCCGTTCTTCCTCCTGGCCAGCCAAATCAGAAATTCATTCCAATAAAGTCTGTCATGAATGAATCTGTCAATCAACACCACACCAACACCACTTGCCTCAAAGCATGTGTACGTATCAGGGATGGAGCCCTCTGGCGGCAGCCTCCTCAGATCCTCCATGTCCATGTAGCGTGAGAAGCCGCTCTCCATCTTCAAGAAAACAATGTGTGAATTGAAGTGTTGTGAAGATTCTGTGAATCAGTGGAATGTCATTCATGAGTCATGTGTCATGTGACTGGTTTGGGCCAACATCAAACGAACCATCAGTGTTGTAAATCAGCAAACAGTCAGCAAGTCATCAATGAGCAAACCAGTTCAAAGTGACTATACTACCAAGTGTTCAATAAATGATTGATTGACAAATGGAGCCCATGAATGAAATGAAAGTATGAGTGAGCACCTCCACGAATGTAGAGCCAGAAGACCAATTGTCAGACCTCAGATCAGCAGGTGTCAAGTGACAACTGGAACAAACAATCGACTTGGCTCAAGACCACTGATTCTAACAGTGAGTTGACTGGCATCATTAATCATTATGCCCTGAACTGCTAAAGTCTCGGTTTACTATTTCATTTGTTTCCACTGATCTCAGTGCCACACATCTTGAAGACAGAAGAACTCGAAGAAAGACATCAGTCAGGAGTCATATGACAATTGATCAAATGGTCAAGTGACGTCAAGTGACACATGTAAAGGGTCAGGTGACACATGTAAAGGGTCAAGTGACGCATGCAAGGGGTCAAGTGACACATGATCTCAAACGCTGAGACTTGAGCTGTCCAGAACAACAATATCAAATGTCCCATGTCAAGTGACAAGTTGAACTAGTTTGAACTCAAGCAGTACGAAGTTACCTTAAATTGCTATGTTGTTGACAATATGTGTTCTCTCGTTTAAACCGACAAGCAATGTTCTTATCACCGTATGCAATACAAATAGTTTCAATCACTCCTACAAGGGATAAGAAAGTCCCCGCTTAAGGTCATCGGTGTAGAAAAGACTAGTATCAAAAAAGGCCGGTTACAACTTTTTTGATCTCGCAAAAAGATCTACCTCACTTTAATTTCAACCTTCTTTGACTCAGGTTGATTCTTTGGTGTGTCTCGATTGATTTTTATTAGTGTCGCTTATTAAGCGATACTGTTTTTGTATGAAGGAATAGCATCCATATTCATATTAAAAAGATATTTACTTATACTATACTTTTGAGAATTCCTAAAAATTAGCAAAATCATCACCGATCTGGCCCCTAGCTGATCTAACCCCCTCACTCCCAGAAGTGATACTGGGGTGGAGGCCATTGCTACTGGTGTCAAGAAGCTATTAGGTTTGAGGCCATCGCTACTAGCAAGAAGCTACTATGACGGAGGCCTTCACTACTAGCAAGAAGCTATTAGGTTGGAGGCCATCGCTACTAGTAGCAAGAAGCTACCAGGGCGGAGTAGGGTGGAGGCCATTGCTCACCAGTTCTTCCAAGGCTCTTGTTGTCAGCTTCCATGGATAAGTTCTCCCATTGCAAAGCGATCTTTGGTCGTCGAATGTTCAGCTTGGGCGCCTCCGCCTCGCTTTGACCTGAAAGGCCGCTGGTCTTAGGTTGGAGGTCATCGCTCTTGGGTTGGAAGCCATTCCTCTTAGGCTGGAGGCCATCCCTCTTTAGGCTACTAGGAGCTAAGGACGGTACTAGGGGCTCCTGGCATCGCTACTAAGAGCAAGGACGCTACTAGGGGCTCCTGGCATCGCTGCTAGAAGCAAGGGCGCTACTAGGGGCTCCTGGCATCGCTACTAGGAGCAAGCACGCTACTAGGGGCTCCTGGCACCGCTGCTAGGAGCAAGGACGCTACTAGGGGCTCCTGGCATCGCTACTAGGAGCAAGCACGCTACTAGCTCCTGGCATCGCTACTAGGAGCAAGGACGCTACTGGGGGCTCCTGGCACCGCTGCTAGGAGCAAGGACGCTACTAGCTCCTGGCATCGCTACTAGGAGCAAGGACGCTACTGGGGGCTCCTGGCACCGCTGCTAGGAGCAAGGACGCTACTAGGGGCTGTTGGCATCGCTACTAGGAGCAAGGACGCTACTAGGGGCTCCTGGCATCGCTGCTAGAAGCAAGGGCGCTACTAGGGGCTCCTGGCATCGCCACTAGGAGCAAGGACACTACCAGGGGCACCTGGCACCGCTACTAGGAGCAAGGACGCTACTAGGGGCTCCTGGCATCGCTACTAAGAGCAAGGACGCTACTGGGGCTCCTGGCATCGCTAATAGGAGCAAGGACACTTCCAGGGGCTCCTGGCACCGCTGCTAGGAGCAAGGACGCTACTGGGGGCTCCTGGCATCGCTGCTAGGAGCAAGGACACTACCAGGGGCTCCTGGCACCGCAACTAGGAGCAAGGACGCTACTAGGGGCTCCTGGCATCGCTACTAGGAGCAAGGACGCGTATACTAGGGGCTCCTGGCATCGCTACTAGGAGCAAGGACGCTACTAGGGGCTCCTGGCATCGCTACTAGGAGCAAGGACGCTACTAGGGGCTCCTGGCATCGCTACTAGGAGCAAGGGCGCTACTAGGGGCTGGCATCGCTACTAGGAGCAAGGACGCTACTAGGGGCTGTTGGCATCGCTACTAGGAGCAAGAAGCTAGAAATTGGAGGCCATATCGCGGCAGGCGATGCGTCTCACATCTCGACAGCCAAGGCGCGCCGGAGCTCGCCTTTGGTGTCGTCTTCCGGCGCAGCGCCTTCGAATTGCCGAGGCCGGGCCCTTCGCCACAGGAGCACGAAAGCCAAGAGATGATAAATGCCTCGGTTTTCAACAAGGAAAACCAACGAAGTTTCTATTTTGGCTGGCCTTGCCTCCTTACCTAATTATGTTGGCACCAACTTGATGAAGAGAGTAAGCTACTGGCGAAGTTTGCTCCTAGCTAGGACGCAGGATAGCTCACGTTTCTAATGATTTGCTACTAGATTTTATGAAAACTTGACCTTGAGACCTTTCTTTCCATGGAGACGCGCCTCCAAGACTCAAAGAAAAAAATGTTGGCTTTTAGATATTAAACAGCTTGGTCGAAGCCAGGGTGCACCAAGGAATCAACAGCCAAATGAGGGTTTCGGCGTAGCCTAGGCCGCAATCGCTCACAAAGAGTACAAGCGATGGCCTCCAACCTGCTTGCGACGGCCTCCAACCTAGAAGCACCGTGAGGAAGCCTGATCCAAAAACAGTCACTTCACGGTCCGTGATTAGACATGAGACTACCAGCTGGGTCAACGCCATTGGTCCGTAGAACCTGCTCACCGTTCGCGGCAACGCAAGGGATCGCAATGGTGCCGTTTGCGCAAGGCAATTCGCCATAGTCTTGCCATTGGTTGATCATCAAAGCCTTTCCAAGGCAGCAAGGCCTAGTGCATCGCTATATATAACCTTGCTACTAGTAGCTTCTAGCTACTAGTAGTATTGCCCTTGTTACTGATAAGGTCCTTGTTACTAGTAGTTTCTTGTTCCTACTAGCGAAGGCCTTCAACCTAATAGCAATGGTCTCCAACCTTAAGTCGCCCTAAAAATCTAGGAACCAAATCATTAGCGCGAGCTATCCTGCGTCCGAGTAGTAGCTACTTAAGCTACTAGCCGGCCTACCCCTCAAAAAGAATGGTAAAATTGGGGTTCTGGGGAGTTGTTGTCCATCAACCACCTCGTTGAATTTGTTTGCTCACTAAAAATGGTTGTTGAGGCTTTGTCGTTATTCTCTATGGGGTTTCTGGGGAAATTTTGGTGCTAAAAATCACTCTGTTCGGTGATAATGGATGAGGTTAAGATTTGTTTAGGCTTGTTGTGTTTTATGTTTGGGGTTTGGGTTTAAGGATTAGTTCATAATATGTTTTATTAAGATATTACGACTTAATCCGTGTCTCCATTTTTCATCATCTTTTCCTATTCCATCCCAATGTTCAAATACAATCGTTTTGATGTTATAGAACACTAAAATGATTGTATCTCTATCCATACTTCGTTGGTCAATCAAGTGCTTCAACACTGACAACAGTGTATACTAGTTTTGTTGTAATGCTGTCTTTTCTCCTCTACGGTGTATTCTCTCACCCTTTCTTTTAACAATATCTTTGTCAAAAACATGTTTTCATACATTTCTTTCATAAGGTCGTGGTTTATTTCTCACTCTGCGTATTGCTGCAAAGATTTTTCTTGCTTCAGGAGCAGGTCATTGGATACAAAATTTGTAATCATAATATGGATTTTCCTTTATAAAGGTCATTAATCTCTCTCTATCTCTTTGTAATTCTTCCTCACTTACTCCAATCATAGGCATTCTTACTCTTAATATATATATATATATGTATTTTTCTTTAAGTGTTTATATATATTTGTATATGCTCTTCTATTTCTGGTTCGTTGATGTAGTGCTCATAATATCTGAAGAGTTCTTTGAGATATTCCCGCAAGAAGGTTTCCATAATGTCTTTGATTTTGATTGTTCTGTTTCGGAAGTAGTAATCCACTTCAAGGTTTTGAAACCACCAAACTTGTATCTTTATCATATCTTTCATAAAAGCGAGGTCGTGAACGTATTTGAGGGTATGATAGGTACTTCTCCAATACTTCTTCACATATGATTGGTTGCCAGTAGGTATAACTTATCGTGCTTAAACCTTTCCTTCAGTTCCGGTGTGTCCATCAACGTGTCTATCTCCCTTCTCATCACTCTCACGTTTGTTCGGTTAGTATCACTCAAAAAGATGGGATGGCATCTCTGTTTGGAAGAAATCTATTTGCTTTTCCACTGTTGTATGTCTGTCGGTTCCTTGAAGATTAAGTTATTACATTTCAAACGGTGGGTGTTGTAATCACATATCATATCACAAATTCCGGCGGGGAAAAGATTGTTCAATACAATTTTGACATTGGCACTTTCATTTTTACAACATCTACAGTTTCCATAAGTAAATAGCATATCTTAACATATATAGGTAATGTTCTTTAAGTAGTTTTTTGGGGGCTGGTTCAGTTTTCCAGTTCAGGTTGATTTTAATTTTCTCTTCCACTTCATCATCACTGACATCGTTTTCAAAAAACATTCTCATCCTTGTCTTCTCCATCTCTAAAAGTTTGTTTTCCATAAACTGGAACTTCATTTGTCTCTTCCCGCACTTCCCACACATATTCACGAAGGTCTTTAACACATATGTCCAGTTCGGTTCTTTCCATTCATTCAAGGAAGTAACTTCAGTCATTATCCGACATCCACAGTATATCATGTTTTCTTTAAGTATATGTGTTATTCTTTAGAAACATTTTAAATGCTAAAACTATAAGTTTCGGCCCGACTCCCTTACAGCGGTGAAACTTAGACGGCCGAGCAGTCGGGATAGGAAGCCATGGAAGATGCCATTTTTGGTTCACCGCCGGCAGCGGTGGATGTCCACTGGTCTGGCGTTGTGTCGCTTTCACATGCGCTGGCCGGTGACTGTTCCTTTTGGGTGGCTACCCTCCTTCCTTGGTCGAAGGATGTTTTGGTTGCGGATTGTGGTTTGCTCCCCACCAATGGTAGCAAGGTGACTCTATATGACTGGATGGTTTCCTGCATGGATCCTCTCATCCTTGTCCCCTCGGCAACGAGCCAGGCATTTTCCAGTTCATCCATCCCTAGGACGTTCGGTGAACACATCATCGAGTTTGCGGCAGGAAGCGGCGCTATGGGCTTGGGCGCTAGCTTCCTCGGAGCACAAGTTCGGGTTTGCATTGAAAGCTGCCGCTACGCAGTGGAGCATCTGAGATTGAACGGACATGGACACGTCATACATGATGATGTCGGTTCCTTGGCAGCGATTAGACAGGCACATGCTGAGCTTAATGGTGCACCTACCACTGGCCTCTTTGGCTTTCCATGCCAGCCCTACAGCAAGCAAGGCAGGCAGCTTGGCGAACTTGATGTTAGGTTCGACGTTTTGTTGAGTGGATTGAGAGCTACTTGGTTCCTTCAGCTGCAATCACTCATCATTGAGTGCGTTCCATCAGCGAGCACTACGGCAGCAGTTCAAGAGGCGCTACATCTCCTCAGTGAGGCTATGGGTTGGGAGCTTGTGGATTTCATGCTGGACCTCAAGCAGCAGTGGCCTATGCGACGTGCCAGGTGGTGGGGCATCATGGCTCCTCCAGTATGGCTCTCTGGCCCTATCTACACTTGGGCTCCTGATTCCAGGTTTCAGACGGTGGGGGCCCTTCTCAAGAGTTGGCCGGTTTGGGCACTTGACGATGAAGAAGACCTTTTCTTGACGCACCAAGAGTACGCCACCTTTCAAGATCCAGCATTTGGCACGGACCAAAGGTGGTATGGACCTCAGCATCAGTTGCCCACCATCCTTCACAGCTACGGCGCTTGGTTTGGGCCTTGTCCATGCGGCTGCAGGTGTACTGCCATGTCCCAGGACTCGTTGAAGCAACGTGGCATCAGAGGTTGCTACGTCACATCGTCGCTCACCGGACAGCCTAGGCTGCTCCACCCACATGAGCTTGCCTTCATGCTCGGCCTCCCCAGCTCGATGAAATTTCATACATCCCCACGGGATTCTCTGCCGCTGCTTGGGAATGTGGCTTCCTCGATGCAATCAGTTTGGGTCTATGCTATGCTAGTGCGCTCGGCCAGTCGGGCACTTCCAGAGATCTTTGCCATTGATCCTCAGCATGTTCTTGAGAAGTACAAACGTGAGCTACTTCGACAGTTCTACCATGCGCATTGCTTGGAGGTTCCGCTATCTAGCATTTGCATCGTTGCAGAAGATGGCACTGAGCTGACGCTGTTTGCAGCAGGCACCAACCTTGCAGCAGACCTACTGCATGCAGAGAAACTACAACTGCATCCAGAAGCCTCGTGCATGCTTTTCGATGGAGACCGGCAGATGTCTCAATACGAACGATTTCCAGTTCAACCTCATGGACGATGCTACAGGCTTAGCGTAGAGGGACCCTATGCCAAGGTCAGCAAAGATGAGATGATCGTGGTTTCATTGCATGATGGGACTGAGCATTGGGTCGAACTTCTCCGAGCAGGGCAATTTCTTTTCCAAGCATTGGATTCAAAGCCCTTTGAGCAGGCCTTTCTCTTCGTTGACAGTGTTGGCAGGCTTTTTCCAAGAGATGCCCGGATTTGGCAGTCACTCCGACTTCGTCCACTTGGTCCAGAGGTTTTCCCTACTCTGCGGATTACGCCCACGTTGGACTCAAGGGGGCACTCTGGATTGCAGCACCTCTTCGTACCGCCATCTGCAGGCTCTGCCATGGGCCCTTCTGATGGACTTCATGCTGATGCGGCCCCTGGACTTGGGGCAAATCTCATCTGGCATGCCATGCATTCTCTCACTCGTGACCTGAATGCCATTAAGGACACGGCTCCTTTGCTCATTTCGCCAGCTCTCGCTGCCCAGCTCTTAGCGGGAGCTTCTCGGTCAATCGGTGAAGATGTACAACTTGGAGATCTTCAGTGCATACAAGAGTGCTTTTGCATCTTTGCGGCCAATGGACACTGGGCGCTTCTTTAGGGCTGCAAGCGCGGTCATGGATTTCATTGGACTTACTTTGACCCGCTCTCCGATGGACTTCGTGAATCTGCCTGGACTTTGGCATTGCGTCTTTCAGACCAACTTTGCTGTCCCACTGCTTCTTTTCAGCATGCAGCTCTCTATGCACAACAAGATCCATTTACCTGTGGTACCCTTGCCTTGTTGCACATGGTTGCGGTCTTGGGTCTCCCGGGCGAACTTCAGCCTCCCGCAGTACGGGCACTTCACTTTTGGCTGCTTCGCCACTCTGGTGTTGAACGCTTCAGGGCAACTGGACCGATCGATGTCAATCTCCACAAGCAGCTTTCTGACACCCTGATTGGGCATGGGGTCTTTCCGCAGGCCGCATCCGAACGGGCACAGTTGGTCATCAACAAAATCGGGGCTGCCGCCATTCAGCAGGCACTGAACAGCCGGAACCCATGGGCTGCTTTGAAGGAGAAGGCCTCTCAGCCAGGCACCTCTATCCGGCTTGTCACGCTTGAAGAACTCGAAGCGCAAATTGCTGCCCGAGCCAAGTCGAAACATGGTGCTCATGTCCCCAGGGCTAAAGAGAAGAAGAGCCGATCCACTGCGCCACGCATTACGGCTGAGAACCTTGATGTTGCCCTTTTGCAGCTGGACAAAGCTCACTTCAAAGACGAAGATGGTGATGATGTCCCTCAGATTCAGTTCACCGAGGTCAAGTCCAATGGTCGTGGAATAGCCATCTGCTCTCAGACAGATGCTCGAGCATTCATTGCAGACTCCACTAGCATCAGTACTGATGCTCTTGCTTTGCTCGTCCTTCCTCCGCTTCCTTCTGAAGCAT